TTTTACCTACTCCTGTATCAGTCGGGGATGATTTGGGTGCAGCCCCGGACAGACAGGGAAGTGAAGGCTATACCTCTGAAGAGATGGAAAAAGCCAAAGATACAGAAAGGAAAGTAACAGCGAAATCTCAGAACCACCGTGACATTTAAGAGGAAATGCCTTTGCCTTCCATATTATTTTTTCCCTCCGATAATGAAGAGACTGAAAACTTCTGTCATAGGGATATTTTCTTTTTTGCTATTACAGTCAATTTCCAACATAAGAAAAAGAATAGCTTTTATGAGAGTGATATTTGTTTTTAAGAGTCATCACAGAATTTCTTTCCACTAGATCAGCCTTATGTTGTATTTAAGGCACTATTCAAATTAATTTGCATTTCCAGTGTATATTCTAAATGAAAACGGCCATGATCCCTGGCACATAGCAGGCACTCAGGAAATACTTGTTCAATGAATAAATGTATCCAGAAGCTGGAAAAGGCCAGGACACAACTTCAAACTTGGCAGCAACAACCACACCTGAAGCCCCATTTCTCTCCCTCTCTGGCGAGTAACAAACTGCAGAATATAACTTAAAATACATCAAATAACCTCACAGTAATAGACTTGAAAGTTACAGTCACCTTAATAATCAGTTCTTTTCTGTCATCCAGTTTGAGTTCAATAGGTTTTTTCACAATAAATAAATTAGTAACTCTGGAGAGAACTCTGGCATCTATTGAAGGGCGCTTGGTACCGGCCCCCTCTTCCCTCGTGAGGTAACAAGCTAACAGCTTCAACGCCAGTGCCCGGACCCTGAAGAAACAAAGTCTTGAAGTCAACATTTTGTTACACAGAAATGTCTAGAAATTATGAAGGCCTATAATCACAAAGAACTATTACAAAATCAACATAATAATTAGCCACGTTTATCCTAACATTACTGATGACAGCTTACTTTTTCTATTAAAATATTTAATGCATAACTACAATCATTCTTTCATTTTATATTTATAAATAAGCAGCAGAAATAAAGAATAATGAATAACTACAAGTGAAGACACAGACTCGCTGAGACTGTCAACTTCAGTCAATGTCACTGCAAACTTCACAGTCAGTATCACTCTACAAAGTTGGTCCACAAATCTTAGCTCCTGGCTCCAAGTCTAGTCACAGGCTGACCCACGAGTCCAGACAGTAGGCCGAACCTGCAGGTGAGTCATCACACTAACAGCTGAAGCGTGATATTAGGGGACAAACAGATTCCCTCAAATATGAAAGTGCAAGTACCTTTGATTCCCGTCAAAATTCTATTTTATCTGGAATGGATTAGCATTAAGGTCAGCTGAGTCGGAAGGTGGGAGATTTTGAGAAAAGGTTGAATACTGCACACCATCAGACAATGAACTACAGGGAAACTGGGCAAATTTCAAGTGGGAATCCAAGTCCCAGGTTTTAGGTACTACTTGTGAGACTACAATTGAGGCCTGTGCACTCAGGGAGGCCTCCCTACCACAGCAAAGGCCGTGTCTGGTCACCCGAAGCCCCCTGGCGTAACACTGAGCTCGCTTTATTACAAGCAGCAATAAGAAATAACCGGTGACACTGGTCTTCTCCATCACATGCCCAATTCTGGAAGGGCAGTGTCATGTCTGGGTTGCGAGCTGCCATGTTCCCACAGCCGACCACGGTTCTCAAGCGCTTCCCAAATCTACAGAAAGAAGGAGTTTACCATATTCCTAACAGATACCATCTTCAACGGGCAAACACATACTCCAAGATGGTGTGAGAGTCAGGCAAACTTTCCCCCTCTCCCATCTGCTGTTCCCTCAAGAAAGCTTAGAACAGCAAGACACCCACACATGCTCCTCCTTTGTGCCAGTATGATCTGTGCTGAAATCTGGGGTCAGTTCAGGGACAGTCATGACTCCCAGGAAAAAGGCTAGAGTGGGATACGGAAAGTATATGTTTATGCATCTCCTCCTCTGGTTTATAAACTTAGCGTTGTTTTAGATCCAGTATGAGCTCCAGAGACCAGTTACTCCTCTACGCTTATTTCTTTCAACAAATACATTTTGAGTATATCTGTGTGCAAGGTACTCGATGAAGTTCTGAGGACATAAAGATTAGTGGACAGGGCTCCTGCCTGATGGGAGTTCATGGTCTGCATTAACCAAATAATGAAAACAAATATGTAATGTAAACTGTTTTAAGTTCTGGGTAACAGAGAATTACTTTACCCAAAGAGAGGCCTGGCCTTGCCCTTGGCTCCTGGGAGGGTAACTCTAAGCCCTTGGATGTCCTGCCTGGTAAGTGCTTTTCGTTTACCTGAAGACCTTAGGCCCCCAGAGGTGAACAAAGACACATATCTATTGTGCTAAATCACCAGTTTGGGGCAGGGAGTAGACACTAGCACATTAATAAAGACACGGCCCAGGGCCTGCGGGAGCACCCGCAGAAGCCAGTCCCCGAGAAGCACAGACACATGGACTCCGTCTGCCCCGCTGCGGCCTGCGCCACCCACAGCTTTACTTCCTACAGGACGCAGATGCTTCTACCATCTCCTCTTTGATTTTCCTCCTTCCATTCTCTTAATGTTTTAGTGTATCTCACCTTCTTCCTTATTTTTCAGTCTGATCATCAGTTTATAAATAAGCCACTGTCCTATCCTGATGTAGGTATGGGGAAGACAGAAGTACCCACTGTCAAAAGAATGTCTTCCTGCCCTTTTCAACCAACCCTCTCTCTTCATCACTGCTCATCCAGCTTGACCCTAAGCTTTTTTTCTCTCCTTAGGGAAAATCTAACCACTGTTACCTAAAGAAAGTAACAGAGAAGATACATGTTGCACTGACAGAGAGAAGGAAGACACTGTATCTCTCCTTCTTTTCTTTTAGTTAAAATGACATTTACACTAATGGTGGAGGAAAGGACACTTCTTCAGTTTCCCGAAAAAAGAGGACAAGCTAAACAAGATTAAATCACAAACATACTCTGGTGTATGGGGCAACTGGTCCACGACATTTTTATGAATAACTTAATTTTCAGAACAAACGTTTAGAAAAGTTTCACTCCAGGAGGCCAACAATTTCTAAAGCGAGAAGACAACAGGAATGCCCTGCAATCTGTTTATCTCCTGGCTTTCCAGCCCGCCCGAGGCAGCACTGTGAGCAGCTGTAACATGGGCTGATCTGATGGCCAGGCTGGAAGACGGATGGAGCATCTCAGGAAAGCATCCAGACTAAGCGTCGAGTTAGTTTCATGCACGAGTGCCCTCTCTCTGTCTAATGACAGAGAGTAACTTTCCTCCACCTCCTTTGGTTCTACACCGTTTGACATAATTCCATCCTTTTCTAGAATGTTTGCAGTCATCTTTCCCACTGAAGACTGCTGTACTTACGAAGGCTTTCTCACCAGCAGGAGTCGCAATATGGACTTCAACCGGGTGGTGCAGGGGAGAATCCCTTCGCCTGCCTCAGAACTCGCTTTGCTTAGGAGGAGAATGCAGTTACCCAAAGGGTCTTCTGTGTCCGCATAGCCCTAACAGATTTCATAAAAAGAGAGATCGTTGTTTGATTGTATACCCATTACTTAATTTTTTACCTTGGAAGTAAGAAATGTGCTTGGCCTATAAGGCAACTCATAAATTTCTTTCAATTCAGTTGAGTAATGACTTCTCAAAGCAGCATCCATGAGGTAAGAAGTCTACATACAGCTGCATTTAAACAATAATCCTGGAGAAGGTCAGGAAAACACGCCAGCCGTCTCGGCACTTTCTGGTTCTTCCACTTCCCAAAACTCCAGGAGCGGCACTTCCCCTAGATGAGGCCCCTCCCCGCCCTTCAGGCTGCCCCCACCCGCGCCGGCTGGAGGTGGCATGCGGCCAGCTGGTCTGCAGGGAACTGAGCTGAGCCAGCGTCCAGGGCCAAGGCCCGGGCTCTTTCCTACGGGACGACTACTCCTGTGATGTGCTCCCATCTCCACCTTCTCCCCCGAGGGAGGCAGGGTCCTGAACGTCCCTCACTCCTTTACCTAAGCCCAGAGGACTGCTGAAAAAGCTTCGTTTCTAAGAGCTCATTGATCAAAGTATCGCTCTGATTCACACGCACACGGACAGAATTCATGAAGCAAGTTCCATTATGTAATATGCTTAAAAAGCAGTTAGCTTTGCCTAAAAGCCTTTCTATATATAAGGCTGCGTTCTGTCTTCACAGTCAAGGCTAAGTGCCTCCACCTCACTTCTTAACCTCCCCCCTAGACACACAGGGCGCACAGACAAGTCGGCTGGCCCGGTTTAACCTTCTGTCAGAAACCAGACAGCCACCCACCTCCTGCTCCCTCGCCCACAGCGCCCTCGCAGCCTCTCCTCGTTCTCCCACAACACGCAGCGCCGCTGCTGGCCTGCACATAACCAGTCACACCCACCAAAGATAAACGGCGTGGAAAACGGGTCTGCAGAGTACCTGCAGGACTGGGATGACAGGACAGAGGGCCTCAATAAACTTGTTCCAGGTCAGCGCTGTCATCATCAGTCGTCCCTGCAGCAGGTACGTCAGGACGGCCTTGGCAGCAGCGTTCACCTGCTCAACAACACAGGCGAAACAATCCAGCAAGATGAGGTGACCCACGACATCACCTCACCTACCGGTGACATTCTGCAAAATCTGGAAGGTGCTGTAATTGACATCTCTTCCTTCAGATATTCCTATTGCCACAGCATCCCCTCATATTCCAGTCTTTCCCCCGAATAATCTTCTTTTTTAACCTTTAAGGTATATTTTTCCATTGAATAAATATATTCCTTAATGAAATACACTGCTTGCTATAACCACAGCATCATTCTCTACATCATATATGAAAAACTTAAGTAAAAAGTTTGACCTGAATTCTCTGAGAACAAGTATGTCTTGTATTTTGAGTCTCATTTTAACATCTCTTTTTCAGTTAAATAACAGCTTAACTGAACCCATGTACCAAAGACAAGTTTCTTCTTAGTTTCTCCTCAGACTACCTTGTTACCCTGCAGCATCACCTTGATGCAGCTGAGTATCTAAAGAATTAGTGTAGTCTTTTGTACTTCAACTTGCCATACCTCATTTTTGGGCTCTTGCATGCCAAATGCACAGATTTCGTACAGAACTTTTGGGTGAAGTAGAAAATGAATTCCATTACAAAGTGAAGACACAGGTTGACTGACATTGTGGACACCTAGACATTCCTGCAGAATAATACAGAAAGTTTTTAAAAATTAGTGACATTGATTTTTCCAGAGGAATCCTCCTTCTTCTGTTTATAATTCAAATCCAATTTTAATATTTACTTTGCTGAAACTTTTCTTTTAACTAGTAGAGGATAAAAAAGGTTCTCTTGACTAACAGTTTCTGAGTCTGCATGACATCTCTATTACATTTCTTTCAGCCAACAAGCATAGTCTTGATAAATTAAATAACCAAATTGCTGAGACAACCGTAATCTTTTAAAATTGTTCATAATGACAGACACAAAGGAAAAAAGCAACATGATAAACTTATCCCAGGGTATTCTCACTTTGCTTACTGAGGTTTGACAAAGAGAAACAAAATTCAAATCAAAACAGACTTAAATTTCTGGGTGAGGGGGAGGACAACATGTATGTGGGATTTTTTTATTATCAAAACAGTGATGCACCTGCATATAAATAATGACTGTACCATCTCTTCGACTAATTATCACAAACTCACTCCTCAATTTGAATGAAAAAACAGTATTTTGTTAGAAAATGCTTAAGATGAGAGGGGAAAAAAAGACTATCTGAAATATTAACAGAATTTAGTTTAAGTAGAAGATAACAGTACAGTCAATAATGACTTACTTTTTCATCCTGCAAATCACTCCTTCCTAACCACTACCAACTACCCAGAGATCAGAAAGTTACACACATACATAGACAAACACACACATACACAGACACACACATATTCATACTTTTTCTTTTTAAACTTTAACTTCACTCCATAAACAACTTTATATTTCAAGCTTCTGAAAGAATTTAAGCCTCAGCCCAAAGGTTTAAAAAAAGACGTCACTTATTTCCTTAAAAATCTTTAAAAACAACTCTCTGAGCTTCCATTTATTCATCCATAGAATGAAATAAAGCTGATCCTTAATGAATATATAATATATAATGAATATATGAAAGTATAGACTTTCTTAAACAGACAAAAACAGTAATATGTATGATTTATAAAGACATGCATATATAAAGCATGGATGGGAAGAATAAACACCAACTTTATAAGCATGGTTACCCTGGTGGCAGAAAAAAGGGGGAAGAGAAAGGAAAAATGCTTCAGCTATAACTAGTATTTTTATTTCCCTGGATAAAAAAGGATCATAAGTAAAAATGGCAAAATGTAAACATTTGTTGTATCTAGATAGTACTTATAAGAATTTTAAATATAAGGACATTTTCAAGAGTACATAGAAACATACATATTTTTCAATAATGTCCTATGTAGTATTTTTTCAGTATTGAAATAGTTAATACTCTATGTACTATTCTATGATGAAATATTTTAAAATTTAAAAACATAGAAAATATTTGTTTCAAAAGAAAAAAAAGAAAAATATTACTAAGGAAAATTTAAGCCATCGCAACCTAAAACTTTTCCTTAGCATAGAAATCACTTTTGAATACCTTGGAGAAGTCAAGTTTTCTGGCATTAAATAACACAACATAAATGTAATTCTTAATAAAACTTGTAATAAAGCAATTCGGTTGCTAGACTTACTAAGTTAGGGCAATTTAATAGTACAAGTTGCTTAGAGTTGACTAAGATTAATTACCATCTATGTCTATGGTAATAATTCTTATACCTTATTCAAAAGGTCAAGTAATTTAATTTTGGACTTTTATAAGAGAATACACTGTTAGTGCTCCCCCAAAAATCAAAAACTAAAAACCTACCTTAATAATTTCCAGGCAGCAGTGGTAAGTTTTAACTTTCACTTGTAGCAATGGGTGAGACAACATACGCAGAAACACCTTCTGGCTTTCTCCTTGCAGTAATGGACTGGCCTGTGCGGACTTCCAGCTGGTGAAGGTAGAACACCCAAGACAGCTAAGCAACTAAGTTACTAAACAAGAAATTGAAAAGCACAGAAAGGGCTTTCTTTTCTGGGATCTTAGTTAACTAACCCAGTATTAGTATTTACCCAAGCCCTTACTTATTTCAAGGCAGAGAATATTTTCTCTTGAGGAGTACAGATAACTATAATGTCTTCAAAGACCTATATTTAGAATGTAAAATGGTACAGCCATTATGGAAAACAATATGGAGGTTCCTCAAAATATTAAAAATAGGAATACCATATAATCCAGCAACCCTATTTTTGGGTATACATCCAAAAGAAATGAAATCAGTATTTCCGACAGATATCTGTACACTATGTTCATTCCAGAACTATTCAGAATAATAGCCACTACATGGAAACAGTGTCAGTTGATTGATGAATGGATAAAAAAAGATGTGGTGTGTATGTACAATGGGATATTATTCAGCCTTAGAAAAAGAAGGAAATCTTATCACTTGTGACAACATGGATGAAACTGGAGGACATGGTAACATAAACCAGGCAAAGAAAGACAAATAATGCATGATCTGACTTACATGTGGAATCTAAAAACTCAAACTTATAGAAGCATGTGGAATCTAAAAAATCAAACAGTAGAATGGAGGTTGCCAGGGGTTGAGGCATAGAGGAAATGCAGAGATACTGGTGAAAGGGTACAAAGTTTCAGTTGTGCAGGATGAATAAATTCTGGAGATCTAACATACTGCGTGGTGACTATGGTTAGTAACATGGTATTGTACACTTGATAATGTGTTAAGAGAGCAGATCTTCAATGTTCTCACCACAAAAAAACAAAAAATGGTAACTGTGTGAGGTGACTGAATACATATAAATATACATATAAATAAATGTATATAAATACTGTGTAAGTGAATGTATATATAAAAATTTATATTAAAAAACCCCTCAATTCAAGTTATTAATTAAAACATCAAAGATAAATAATAAACAAATGTGCCTGAATACCTGGTTGGAAAGACACCAAAAATACAAAACTCCAAGGATAATTCATGTTGATTTTAGGCATGACATTTTTAAAGTTTACTTTTGAACAAAACAGTTAACTGTTCTAATGCAGCTATAAATATACAGTTTAAAGGTCAGATACATATAATAGCAATTTAAATTTAAAAATAACAAGATTTAAGACTAGTTTCATTTTCATTGCTCTTAGTTTACACTCACACACACACAAATCTTGTAATATAATAATATTAAGAAAGAAAATATTACATGTTTGAACAAATGCACATGATTTCCTTTATTAGGGGGAAATGCTGATGATAGGAAAAGCTACGTAAGGCTTGGTCTGCCAACTCCACTAATTCCAAGAGATTCTTCTCTCCCTAAAAAAGAAGCAGAATGGAACAGTAAATGTCAATGTCATTTATAATAAAACCTCAACAGCTAACACAGCAGCTTCAAGAAATTAGATCATTCAGAGACCCTGAGATTGTTCACATTTGCTTACGTCCACTTTCTCAACAAGTAAACTAAAAATGTCAGCCTACAAGGAAAATGTGGGGGAAATGCCTGGCTAAATGCCACGAGACCTCCTACTATTTACTTCTGAGTGGCACGGTTCTTAGACTGCTTGGTTGTAGTCTTATCCCTCTAACTGGGGCTCAAGGCAGGGTCCATGTATTTTAAGATCAACCCCCTCTTCTAACATCCTGACCAGTTCTAGGAACACAGAGGATGGCCAATACATGTGTGATTAACAGATCATGCAGAATGTCACAGAAATAGTTAAACTAAGAGACAATTCAAAATTTTACCACGGATGAAACAAGAAGCCAGTGGCATCAAGATGTAGCAAAGAGAAAACAAAAATAAACAATAGTGGGTAAGTAAACGAAAATTAAAAATATGAGGTTCAGATAAACTCCACTGTAGGGGCCAAGAGGAATAAGAATTTTGCCCCAAAATTTCAAGATCTTCAGGGACCCATTTTCATATTTTCAGACAGTAAACAACTATTGTAGTCAATGTCTATTTTAAGACTCATTAAACTTTTCATTGATAACATATTAAATAATATCCTAAAAGGAGCAAGTAATAAATACATAATTGTTGCTATAACACTGTACTGAAAGTCATCCTACTACCTTAAAGTCTAGTTCATTACTTTATTTAATAAAAAGTCAGGCTCTTTGTGTGAGTTAATAAGGGTCTATAAAACACCAAGGGAAATGTGTCTACAAACAAGCACTAAAATGGCTCTTACACTTCTGTTCAGGCCAGTTGTCACTCTGCTCACATACAGTAAGCCACTTCAAAAAGGAACTCACTATCAGAGATACTGATAATACCTGCTATTTTTTCAAAAACCACTGGTATCAGTGGAGGGTATAGGTCAGCGGTAGAGTGCATGCCTAGCATGCATGAGATCCTGGGTTCAATCCCCAGGCCTTCCATTAAAAATAAATAAATAAACCTCATTACCTGCCGCCCTAAAAGAGTTTTTAAAGAAATAGAAAAAAAAAAAACGAAAAAACCCACTGGTCTCCTGAGTATATACCATTCATTCAAGTCGTCATTTTACTTTTGTATAAATCATACCCTTAATTTAATCTGATAATTGGGCCATTCAGTAATAATGTATCCCACATCTAGGATTTCAATGGTTAAATATCCATTCATTTGAAATCTATAGGTTAAATTTTCTAAATAGCTTATGAAAAGGATTTTAAAAAGATACTAGCAAAACTTTTTACCTCCTTTCCAACATCAGACAGGAAGTTACAGGTACATTCAATTGAATAAACAGCCTCTGCAGTTCGTTTATAGATACTGTAGTTTTCAGAATTCAGCTGTTCCAAATAGGCCACAACAGCCTCATGAATATTTGGATATTCCAAAGAAATAGGCATGTCCAAAGAAACTAGAAATAATGCTGCTGACATGGGCTCCGGTAAAAAGTGGCTTGCCTTGATAAATTAAAAAAAAAATTAAACCATTTTTTAGATAAACATAGCAGACTATAATCTTAATATAGTTCAACTTTTTTAGTAATTCTCTATTACAAAGTTTATGCTTTTCCAAAGAAAACTCTATCCCCCAACACATCATTTATTTCACATTTTTGTACAATGCTATTTTTCTCCACCCAAAATATCTCAAGTTCAAATTCCAACTCTTTCCCAAAGCCTGGGGTCCAGGATACGTCCTTCTTCCCCACACCAGCCCTCAGAACTGCTTTCCCCCTGGGTTCACACCTCGTCTGTGCCTCTGCTACTGAACTCAGGGCACCAGGCCTTGTCCTCTGAGTTTCCCACGCGTGTGCACACAAGCCTCCAGAAAAACGCAATGAACTGCTGAGGATACAGCTCAGGGCTTATCAGCTACATATTACACTGAGTAACACTAAATCAAGTACAGCTATAGATTGATTTGAAAAGAAATTAATTTTTTACTTGGTTTTGTGTTTTAGAAGAGAAAGGAGAAATTCAACATAATATTTAAAATACTTCTGAAACATTCACAGAAGACGGACCCTAAATTAGTATAAAATCAAGGGGTCCAAATGAAATAGAGAATGTTTTATAGCTTTAAATCAATTGATTTAAAACTTAAAAAAACTCTGTTAGTTTTTTTTAATGATTCTAGCATCGTGATAGGAGTCTACCAACTGAAAAAACGTAAAGGATTGAAAATTCAATGTTCAGAGAAAATCATTTGGCAGTGCTCACCACTGTGGCTGAAATGCTGTCTTTATTAAAGTACGTTTGGTCATAATTTATTTCATGGATAACTTATTCAAAGGATAATCATTACTGCCTGAAAATCTAAATCAGCTAAACTACGCTTTTAAATGAAATAAAGTTGCCAAGTGAATGTCAAAAACTAAAGGGATCAAATTTTTAGGTTACTAAGCACAAACACACACACAAAACCCAGCTATAAAGAGAAATAACACATTTTGTTCCAGGACTGGATCTACATGTGTGTGAAAGACAGGAATCTGGGGTGGCTCTGAGGTTTTTTTCCTGATCGACTATCAGCTGGAACGAAGGTGCCACTTACTGAGATTGGGAAGACTACAGGAAGACCACACTTGTGAGACCGAGGAGAGAACTGCGTTTGGGACATGTTAAGTTAGAAGTGTGAACTGTCCAGTGAGGATGTCAAAGGATACTGGATATATATATGGGCTGAGGGTCAGGTGGCATGCGGTCTGGAAATATAAATTTGGGAGGTGACAGCAAATAAATGGCATTTAAAGACTGCAAATGGGATGATACTGCGTGAGGGCCGTAGCTAGTCCTGGAGTTCTAACCCTTTAAGAGGTTAGGAAGATAAAGAGGAATTAGCAAAGGAGACTTACTGAGTTGGGCAATGTGCTAAAACAGAAAATCCTAGTGGCTCTAACTCCAGAGGCTCTGTTTTCTGACTTGAGGCAGAAAAATAAGAATAACTGACGAGAAAATAAAACAAGCACTGGGCAGAGCGTCTGGCACATCACAATCAAGACGTACTAGTTTCCTTTCTTTCCTCCTTTCACTTCATCACAAAGGAATTCTGACATTTCACTCTGTATATCTAAATCTGAAACTCCTATCTCAGCAACTCAAAGCACCAAGGTAAGGCCAGAAGTAATCCTTGCGTGGCCCAGTGGGCTGATCACAGTTCACACTGCAGACTGAAGACACTGGTTCTATATATACATAAGCATTAGTCACATATCAGTTGGGACTAAAAGCAAAGATATTTCAGTGGAAAGCCATTACCACTATTAGATTAAAAAAAGACTCAACACTATCATGCATGCTGGGGAGAAAGGGTGTATGTAATATTGTTTTCTCTAAACGTTGTCACGCAGAGCAGCCATGGCATTATCCTAGGGCTTGTTAGAAATGCAGATTCCCAGGCCCCATCCAGACCTAACAGACAGACTAGGCAAGGAGTGATGAACAAGATCCCTGGGTGATCTGGTTACACGTTACAACTGGGAGAAACGCTGCTCGGAATCAAACAGCTGTACCCAATTATTAGACTCCACATACCCCACTAAGAAGTCAGAGCCTTGTGCTATCAGTTCTTCCTCACCCTGCATCTGCTTGGCTAGGTGAGGAGGGTCACAGGGGTTCCTAGGCTGCTCGGGGCCCTTGCTTCTAGCACAGGTCAGTATTTCCAGCTCTTAGTTCCCAGATGTTCCCCCTAAAGGAAGTTAACTCCATTTGTTTTTACCCATTTGATTTATCCAACCAGAACATTTTTAATAAGATTATCAGTGTATCATTTTAACTTATACTCAGGTATTCTCCAAATTCATTTAAAATCAGCAATTATCAATTTTAAAAAGGTCTTCAAGTGCATTTTGTCGAAGCTTTCAAATTCAGGAAATCTCTACAGAGATTCATATCATTTGCCAACTTCCAAGTCATCTATTTGCTAGGTGGCAACTCAAATATTTAAAAGCCACTTTCAAGGTAGAAACTTTCAGTCGAAATTCCACTTCAATTTTTGGTGGGCTAGCAACAGACAGAGGGCAGCATAACCCTGCATTTATATAAAAACTGAAGGAGAAATTTAACAGCAATGGAAGAGCATTTCTGTTTATTTCTAATTTTAAAATTTTTGATCAATCAAAGCAATTGTAACCACCTATAAACCAATACCTTAATTATACTCTCTTCAATGACCCCATTAACTGTTTTAATGAAGTTCCAAACTACATATTTAAAAGAGCTATCAAAAATTACAGATATTAGGGGGAGGGTATAGCTCAAGTGGTAGAGTGCATGCTTAGCATGCACAAGCCCTGGGTTCAATCCCCAGTACCTCCTCTAAAAAAATTAATAAACCTAATTACCCCCTCCCCTCAAATAAAAACTAAAATAAAATAAAGAAATTTTTAAAATACAATAATAAATAAAATATTTTTTAATTAGATACTGACCTGCCTTCAAAAACAAAAAAATTACTACCTTCAAAAAAAAAAGGCTGAGTTGGCTTTATGTTATTCTAATAAAATAAATTACTGATATCTATTTTAACTGATTCCTGACCAAATAAGCAGAGATAAAAGAGTCTATAATCAAAATAGCAATAAATAAGCTATATGATACAACTGACAAGTGACTTTTCCAACAATACTACAACCTATAGATTGATCACTTGTAATACTTAATAACAAATTATTATAGCACTAATTTTTCAGTTAAATAATATTATCATGTAAAGTGAGACACATTTTAAATGCAATTTCAGTCTTATGTGACTGAAATTCTTCAGTTTATAACGTTTAAGGCTTGGAAGATTATCACTCTTTAACAGAGTGTTATGTTGAAACATAACAACTAATGAATGAAAGTTAAAAATGAAAATTAACAGAAATGATGTTACTTTCCCTAAAGCAAAATACTATAGTTAAAATGTAATGTTTTCTTCTTTTCCCAGATGACCCGGTATTAACATGCATTGTGTATGCGTTATTAAAAAATGGAGTTGAGACCATACATTCTGCAGAATTCTAGGCAACCAAAGGGCAAATGGCTACAACAAAGGACAAGAAAAAGCACAGGAAACAGTTCTTTAGCTGCAGTGATTTCTCCCATACCTTCACTTAAGCACGATGCCACCCTTTTCTTTTTGCAATAAATATACTACAAAACACTTGCATAAGTCATTTGAGATATTTTTACCACTAACATTCAAATCAGATATAACTTCCATTTAAAAATACAGTCAGTAAGATGATTTAAAACAAATATTTACACCTATTAAAATCACCTTTAACATACAGTCATATAATGGAATAGTATTTTGCAATAAAAATAAACAAAACTGCTGCGAGCAACGATGATGAATGTCAAAAAAAAATATCTGGAGGGAGTACATACTTTAAATTCTATTTATACAAAGTTGAAAAACAGACAAATTCTTCCATGGTGACAGAAGTCAGACAGGAGTTTAGATCTGGGGGAGGCAGGAGAGGCAACAGACAGAAAGGGGCCTTCAAAATGCTGGTAATGTTCTATTTCATGTTCTGGGGGTGGTCACTTTTTAAACACAGATCTATTCACTCGGCAAAAATGAACTGAACTGTGTACTTTTCTAAACGTTACACCACAATTTTTAAAAGTTACCTAAGAAAAAAAAAACCTTTACGGAATTAGTGTTTTTTCTATCAACTGATTTGTCCAAATGATTCAAAAGTGTTAGCCATTTCTCAATTTCTACATTTCCAGTGTAATCTCTGTGCAACGTGAAGTGATCAGAACGATCAGAACACTGACTGTAATGCTCAGTGAACTACACACAAGCCTCACTGCCTGCCTTACCTTTTCAGCAGGGAGAAGTGTCTGCAGCAGTCGGACTGCAAACAGCGAGATGCCAACAAAGGCCATTCTGTGGTGCACCAGCACGGCCTCTGGCTGTTCCAAACTGACGCTGCTTTTATGGTAGCACATGGTGTCTCCAAGGGACCCCAGCACCACGAGCAGTTTCTCTTTCTGCAAATATGTGAATGCAAAACAGAGGAAAACAATCAATTTTAGGGGCGAGTATGCAAATGTCATGGAGAACAATATAATATGTTACAAATGCTGTAAAACGTCTCCATAAGAATAACCAATACATGCTAAGATACAAAGGTAGGAAAGAATGATAAACACACCTAAATTTTTTTAAAAGCTAACAATTTTCAAGTATTTAGTATGATGAATACTAGCTAATAATAAATAAAAAAATAAAACACAAAAACTTAATGAACTATAAATTCCTCCTAGTTTCTAATGCTTAATGTTCCAACTTTGAAAAATGCATGTAAATTTCTCATCCAGTATTTATCGGATTTACTGTATGCTTAACATGGTGGCAGGTATATGGGGTAAAAAATGCATCAATACAAGAGACATGATTTCTGCCCTCAAACTGATTCCAAAGTTACTGAAGAAGTGAAACAGGGAAAATCAAATAATTAAAAAACAGTGAAATATTAAATTGCATACACTCTCTCTCTTCGAGTAATAAGGTTTTTTCAGAGCAAATGTTCTGCCATCATAAATTTCTAGATAGATTACTAAATTAAAAAGAAGTTGTATCTTTTAATTTGAAAGGCATGACTAAAATATGAAGTAAATACTAAAATAGTAGAGTAAGTGGCAAATCCTAACAACATAGACCAAAATATATCCCAGATATGCTGACATGGTCAGCATCAGTAAGATGGTGGGATGAAAAAGCACTGGAGTTCTCACTCTCAACTTT